AAAGAAAGATTAATCATATCCAGTAAAGAAGTGCCAATTAAGGGTACGACTTCTTTAAGCAGCCTAGTTGGGATGGGGTCTAATAGACAGGTTGATGGCTTCGATGTAGAAATTATTGAAGTTAACTGATGAAGATAGCAGAAAAACAGTCTAAAGATATATCTGATTTAACATTAGTTAAAGTTCCTGAACTTGGACAGACAGTGGGGATTATAGTATTATTACAGTACTACAGTCAGTTAATGGTGGCTGTACAGAACATTGAGTTTTATTTTTAGAGACAGATGTTTACTTTAGTCCGAGTTCACAACTCCAACATGTCTGCACACGCTATCTTGCTAACACACGTACACACACATTCCTCAATGGATTAACTGTGTGGGTGGGGGAGTGTTATGTTAGGGTGGTGGGGGGGTGGGGTGGTGCATGTGTTTGTTGTTATCCAGAAAGTACACTGGATTCAGAATGTACACGCATGTTTATGCAGCTATACTTGTGAGGACATCGTACTGACTTAAATTGTGAACAGCATGACCTCTGACCTCTGTCATACTATCTGTTATTGTCTTTTTAGTATTTGTCCATATATTATTGTTCATTTTATATTTTTATATTTATGCTTCTTGACTTGCAGTAACTATACTTGTTACTCATTTTGATAATTTGTATTTGTGAACGGCGGCTTTTAAAATGATGCTACCGCAAGGAATTATGGGATAGCATTATCTCCTTTGGTATCTAAAAGATTATCCGGAGTGTCCTCTGCTAAAGCAAATAATAAAGGAAGCATTGAAGGAGGTATTACAGAAAGGAGGTAATAAAGGAAGCATGGAAGGAGGTACTAAAGGAATAAGGTAATAAAGAAAGCATTGAAGGAGATAATAAAGGAAGCATTGAAGGAGGTAATAAAGGAAGGAGGTAATAAAGGAAGGAGGTAATAAAGGAAGCATTGAAGGAGATAATAAAGGAAGCATTGAAGGAGGTAATAAAAAAAAGCATTGATGGAAGTAATGAAGGAAGCATTGAAGGGGGTAATAAAGGAAGCATTGAAGGAGATAATAAAGGAAGCATTGATGGAGATAATAAAGGAAGGAGGTAATAAAGGAAGCATTGAAGGAGCTAAATAAAGGAAGCTTAAAGGACGTAATAAAAGGAAGCTTGATAGGAGCTAATAAAGGAAGCTTTAAAGGATCGTAATAAGGGAGGCATTGAAGGAGCTAATAAAGGAAGCATTAAAGGACGTAATAAAGAAAGCATTGAAGGAGGTGATAAAGGATGGTTGGGGTTAGGGAGACCAATATGTTTGAGTCGTTTGTGATGCATATAAGTTTGTTTCTATCGGAGGCAGTTACCATGTTAAAGAAACAGGTGGAACAGTAGAGGAGAATGGGTTATATAATACTTTGGTGGATGGAAAGAGCTTTAAGTTTGCGATAATTGCTGTAGTAATACACTGCATATACACCGTAATAACACACTGCATATACACAGTAATAACACACTGCATATACAGTAATAACACACTGCGTATACACAGTAATAACACACTGCAAATACAGTAGTAACAGACTGCATATACACAGTAATAACACACTGCATATAAACTACAAAACAACTTGGAAACCGACATTAACTCTTGAATTGGATATAGATAATACATTTGTGAAATGCACAGAGAAATTAATAACAGCTAAGTGTACACTTAGAAAGGGTTATAAATCTTTTTAAGAACACAAACGAGAATTCAATTTAGAAAAAGAGAACCTTTTCGGATATTTACAACTAATTTCTATAATACAGAGATTAAAAAATGACTTTCAGTGGAAGGTAATGAAATCTTGACGGGTGCTTACGAATAAACCCCCTCAAAGATTGTTTCCATGTTGTAGAATAGTCTTCAAAAGTGAAATGGTAGAAACTCATTATATGTAAAATTGAAATGGGAAGAGGAATTTAACATTAAATTGTCTAACAAGTGAATGGCATTTTCCATGTGTAGAACACAACAAATTTCCACAAGTTCCAAAAGATGGAGGGAATTTGGTTGGAAGAACTTAATACATTTTGTACGCCTAAAATAAAGAATAAACAATTGGGCATTCAGCAGCAATGTTGGAGGCAGTACGGCCAAATGAATGCCAATCAATCACATGTCTTTTGGACTTAAAAATACAAACATTTTGGGACAGTGTTTTGAAGATCTTCGAGGAGATTTTAGACTAATGGATTCCCAGGGACCCCTGGATTGTATACCATGGACTGATACCTAAGGACATAATCCAAAAGAAGAATATCTTTTATTTCTTTCTTACTTATTAATTTATTTATTTACCCTATTTCTTTTTCAGTCTTGCTGTATCCAATGATACGAAAAAAAGTTTAATAAAAGTGTAAAATGGAGTGTAAATTCACAGAGGTTTGGTGGTGGTTGAGTGAAACAGTTGATGAACTGTGTGTGTAAACATATTTACAGCCATAAACAGGCTCTGCTGTGATGTAATAAAGCCTGGTTTACAGGAGTCACCTCCAGATGTGCAGATGTACCAACCTGATCCTTACAGAAACCTCCACAACCAGCAGGTGGTTTGGATCAGACTGAATATCAGAGCTGTAAATTCACATTATCACAGGCTGCAGGTCACGAATGTTTTCTCTCAGAGATAAAAGTTAAAAGCAATGTTCTGTCGGCGATGCAACGTTCTACAAACTGTCTTTATTTACTGTCTTCATCTTTTAAACCTGCACATCCTTCGCACTGTATCATACAGTCAGTGCTTTGACTAACAATCAATGAGTCCTTATCTCGTTATGACAACAAAATACTCAGTTTGAGACTCAATGCAACCATTGGCCAACAAAAATAAACCAAAGTGACACCTCTTGTGTTGCTATGACTTTTTAGAACAAATTGGTTGATCAGTGAGCAGCAGTTAGAAACACTTTACCTTCATTAAAGGGACACGTACCCAGTTCAGTACTCTGCACGTTCATTGTAGAGATTTTGGGGAAACCATCCATCAGAGCAATCTACGTATTACTGCAGTATTGACAGGTCCTTATTGGCTCCTGTAAAGGTGGTAAAAGTCACGTTTCTGATATTACTGTATTGATTATAAACTGTATATTTGTTTCTGATATTACTGTATTGATTATAACCAGATTACAACAGAAACAGCAGTAATTATTGTGAACGTGTCTGAACAACCAACAAGGAGACCGAACATTTAGTTAATTTATTCCAACACAGTGTAACATCACACAGTCTGGTTGTTCAACACACGGAATAAATAACTTCCAACTTCACTGAAACTAATCCTGACTGATCGATACGATGGATGATGGATAACGTTAACAGTTACTGACTAATTAACTGGCTACAAACTGGCTCCTCTTCCTCTGTTTCATTCCTCTCCTGTCTTTGCCTGAACCCGCCGGGTCTTCATCCCCAGAGTCACTCCTGGTCGGAGCCGCTGGACATCAGCCAGCCTCGGATGGTAAGGAAAGCTGTGTTCGGTCCTGGTCGCAGTTACTGTAAGGCTGCTGAGACCAGCATTGCCCCACTCTGGCCTTTGTGCTCAGTCCCCAGCAGTCCAGAGCTCCTGGGCTAGCAGTGTAAACACACCTCCTTGGTACTCCCAGCAAGAAGTGAATCTCTGACAAAACCACCCAAACATATGTTGTGCACATGCTTCTGGAGAAGTCGTGTATGTTGTTACTGTAGCTAACCCTAACCCTGTCGGTACAATTATATGAAATGTTACAACTATGTGCAATGTGGCTTTATGTACAACATTTGGTTACAATCCAATTCAGCATTAGAGAATTATGGCCAGTTAATTGCATCAGAAATCATTAATTCAATTCAATTCAATTCAATTTTATTTGTATAGCGCCAATTCATGACAGAAATTATCTCAGGACACTTTTCAAATAGAGCAGGTCTAGACCGAACTCTTTATAACATT